GGTCTCTGTTGGAGGATCTGGGTCTGTCCACGGTGGACCGGTCTCTGCTGGAGTCTGAGCTGAAGGAGTTTCTGGTGAACCTGCATGAGTTCATCTGGTTTCACCAGAATCCGACCCGGTGGCCCTGATGACGAGCATTAAGAATAACTCTATAGAAACAGACCATCTTCTCTCTGATGGTCTCTTTACTGATGGAGGTCTGATAGAGGATCAGGCCTACACTGAGACTGGTACATATAGAGGATCAGGACTACACTGAGACTTGTTCAGAACCAGTTAAAAGTTCCTCACAGTAACTTTAATTCAGTGATGTGTAAACATTTCCGTGATCACTCGGCTAACGTTTATTTGATGCAGCTGGCTGCAGAATCTTTCACACATCTAATCTCTTCTAAGTGCTGAGCTGTAAAACTGTTCCTCTTTGCGTCACAAGTGTCTGTCTTGTGTACCCAGTTAACACCAACAGTGGGACGGCCTCTTTGATGGGAACAGAATTCTTCAGATTCCTGCACACTGTGCTGCGTTCGGAGACCCTCGCTGGTCTCCTGGATCGTTCCACCCCGAGAGATTTTCACATTTTTGACAAACGTCCTGACGCACTTCATGTCAAGAGTCTCTTGGCGGGAGTTCAGCAGTACATGCTTTGTGTCAGTCTCCCAACAAATTCTCTCCGACGTCTGCAGGTCATGGAAAATATCCACTTCACGAAAGAAAAAAAAAGCACAAGAAAAAGTGATAAAAGTTCGAAGCATGTAAACAATTTTCTTTCAGCTTAAGTTGGGTCTCTTTTATCACAAGGGGTCTGTTTAGTCGAATCCATCACCTCCTGACTTCCAGCGCTCTGTGAGCTGCCAGCCTCCACGTGTAAACAGCAGATAACCTGCGCGTCGATGTCAGCCGGATTGTTGTTGGCAGCGGGCGCCGCCTCTGTCTCTGTCGGCGTTACAGTGACGTACGGCTCGGGAGGTTTTTAGATCTGAAGCACCGCTGACTTTCCTCCACAGGATTATTATTGTCAATAAAGCGGAGAGGAGATCCCCGGGCTGGCTTCAACATCTCTGGGTTGTGCGATTAGCATTCAGGTCATGGAGATAACCCCGTGTGTGTGTGTGTGTGTGTGTGTGTAACAGGTGGTGTTAAGCCCTGCGCGCTGAACTGCCTGGCAGAGGGCTATAACTTCTACACAGAGCGCTCTCCTGCCGTCATAGATGGCACCCGATGTCAGGCCGACTCTCTGGACATCTGCATCAATGGAGAGTGCAAGGTGAGGGGGCAGCGTTCTGTCAGACAAATTCACATGTTCATACTTAAACAATGAAACCCACATCATAATAAACCCTAGTTTTCCTTTAACCACCACTCTGCCAACATTAGCGGAAATCTCAATGATGATTCTGCTTCAAACATGATTGAAAATCTGTAAACTTTCAATTACCTTTGACAAGAAAATCTCAACTTACTGGCTTTTTTTTGTGGTGCTTTCACCCGCATGTCACAGTCTTCCTCAGCGGATGGAGTTATGATGGAGTTGGCACCTGTCATCATGTGACCAAATGTTCCACAACCAGGTCACATGATGAGCAAACACACGCTGAGGAAGACTGTAAGATGTGGTTGAAAGCTCGGAAAAAAAGCGAGTAAGAGGAAGTTGAGAAGGTCACAGTTAGTTCAGTTGTTTATTTTCATACAGGGGTTGATCTTTTCAGTCATATGCTAAATAATTATAAATGTAAAGAAAAGCCACAGAAAACAGAACATGTTACAGAACATGAAATGACATGTAGATGCACTGACTGCCACTGTGCCATACTAAATCCAGTATTATTATTGATTGTTTTACTTGTGAAATGAATGTCAGAGGCAATAAAAACACCAAGCGTCTCCTGTCCTGAAGACATAAAGTGACCCACCACACGATGACTTTATCCTCAGCGGGCTCTTGTGATCGTTAGTGACTGCTAACCTCTGATATTTATCAAATTACAGCGAGAGTGACATGTTAGCTGAACATTATCTGAGCTGAGAGTTTCCTCAGCTGCAGTGCCAGTTGACCGCACAAGTTTACTAGATTGCTGATTGCGTGAACACGACTGCCAAAGCACCGAAAAAGCCAATTCTCCAGCGAAGAACAATCGAACCTTTGAGTTCGTGTTTCTGGCTTATTGTGATGGAAGGACTGGCTCTGCGTTCTCTGACTCTTATCAGGGCTCTGCAGCCTCGGCAAGAATTGCTTTGTGACAAAACAAACACAAAAATCATTGTTGTGATTGAATAATGATTATATATAAATATAAATATATATATATATTTAAAAAGGCTGATTTAATAACATTTTATTGAAAGGAGTTGGCAGTCGGTGCCGTCTTTGTTTCCACGAGCATAAATCATTTTGTCCGGTTTGTGTGGAGATGAGGGTGCGTTTTTCTGAGATGCAGCTGAAATAACTTCTTGGTTCCTCGCTCTGAGTATTTGCTTTGACTTACACCCGACCGTACGATTTGGCGTGAAAATGCAGCGTCTGTGCCAACAACATTACTTTGATTTTAATGTAAAAACACAACATGGTGCGTGTTTTAATGGGTCAGAGGATTGTAAGAGGTGGAATATTCCCCACCACAAGGAGCATAGCAGGTTTATTTCCACACTGGATCCAGCTCGTCGTTATATTTCAGAGGCCGCCAGCTCTCCGGGTGATAAATCTCCAGAACGCTGTCTGCTTGGAAAGCTTTCAGAAACTCTCAACGCTGCGATGCTGTTTACAGGTGCTGGAGATACGGAGAGAGATTATGAAAGAGTGAGAGGAGGGATGGTGATAAGAGAGGATAAAGAAGTGGGAGATCCAAAGGAGGAGAGGAGCAGTAATCCTCCCTGTTTTACTGTCACACAGCATCGCTGCTAATCTCTGACAATTCACTGACATTCATGCTCTGCTTATTATCAACTAGCCTGCAGTTCATTGTCTAGATGAATTGTTTAATCCATAAATTGTTAGAAAATAGTGAAAATCTAAATTTCTCGATAAAATAAATGTTTTGGCGAGACCAGACTAACTGAAACATTCAATATAATCTTATGACAAGGGACATTTGACATTAGACTAAGACTAAATATACAAAATTAAAGTTTTAATTAAAAGTAATGACTAAAAGTTGACTAAAATGTGAGGACATTTCGACTTAAATTGAACTAAAACGTTTTAAGGTGTCGTCGACTAAAGTTTGACTGAAACTATGAAGGATAAAAATGACTAAAATGTGACTAAAACAAAGGCACAAAGGGGACAATGTGACACGTTACAATTGAATTTGTCTTGTGTTTTTGTGCACTAATTGTGTTCAGTTTGTAAGTTTACGTTACGGAAACGAACCGTGAATCAACAATGGAGATCTGGAGTGAACGGTGGATTTGGGGAATCGTTACATTCTTAGTATTGAACTTTTTACAGCTTCTAAAAACCTTGAACCCCGTTTTCCAGTCTTTAAATTTAAACCTTCTCTCTGTCTCTGACTTCAAAGCATGTGGGCTGTGACAACATCCTGAGCTCCGATGCTAAAGAAGACCGATGCCGTGTGTGTGGAGGTGACGGCAGCACCTGCGAGGCGACAGAAGGACTCTTCAACGAGTCTCTACCCAGAGGAGGTAAACTCAGGTTTCTGTGACTGTGGATCTCCATTTGTTTATTGAGCTTTTATTGAGTCACCGGAGAAGATTGTGAGTCAAACAAAGTAACTCATCGTCGCCCTTTTGGCAAAGCAGCAGTTTGTCTCAAACATCCATGAAGCCAGGAAGATAATCTTTCATGGAAATGTGCCCTATTTTTTGTCTTTTTTACCCACCGACCGTTATGTTTTGGGCTATTTAGAATTATGTTGTCAGAATATAGATCAAAACATGATATTTCTTCCCATTAATTACATCATGGAGTGCAGAAATCAGGAGTAGAGATAGGGACTTGGTGTTGGGTTTAGCCTGAGGTTGTCTATAGAGAGTTCCAGAGAGAGAAAACATATTTCTCCTTCTATGGTATGGCTAGTAAACCATCTAAAAATACTGTGTGTCAATGTGTGTGTGTGTGTGTGTGTGTGTGTGACTGTAAAAAAAAAAGGAGGGGATTGTTTTGTCCTCCTGCTTTGTCCTTTTTGGGTGATTTGGAATTTATTCTATATGTACTCCCTTCGAGTTTGAGTGGGAGAAATTTCCACCTTAACGATCCCCGTACTTGTACTTGCAGGCTACATGGAGGTGGTTCAGATCCCAAAAGGATCCGTTCACATCGAGATCAAAGAAGTTGCCATGTCGAAGAATTACATCGGTGAGTTAAAGTCACATTCAGAGTTACTAATATGAGCTTTTACGAGCTTCATGGATGGTAATGTCAGTCTTCCGGGCTGTAACATCTCAGCGACTATTTGATGGATTGCCATTAATTCTGGTACAAACCTTCATGGTCCCCCGAGGATGAAGCTCACTGAGTTTGGTGAATCTCTGACATTCCCTCTAGTGCCACGATGAGGTTGACATTTATGTTTTTTAGTGAAATAACCCAACAACTATTGGATGGATTTCCATCAAATTTGGTTCAGACATTCATGTCCCCCTCAGGATGAATTATCTACTTCAGTTTACGACCAAATACCTGCACAACTAATGACAGCTGCATGGTCATGGTAAACATTACATGGCTTTAGCTCAAAGCACCACTATGCTTAGTTCAGCCTCACAGAGGCCCTAGTGTGGCTGTAGACGCTCTAGTCTTGTTTCACTATCAATCCATCAATCTCGGTAAACCCTGTATTGCACTACAGTGTGGTGAATGTCAATTTGCGACATCAAGCTGTTTCATATTATCTGTTGGGTTCTCTGTCAACCACATTTCCATGCGTCTCTGTCAAGAGCAAATTAGAAGATGCCATCGTTAAATCTGCTGTTGCCTAATGTAAAGCCGTAAAAACAGAGTCTGTCAAAACCTCCCTGAATCTTAACACATGCGATGGCCCTCTTGGCACCAGACTCTTCCGCTACGTTCCAGACTAAACAAAAAAGTATTTGCAACACCGGCAGCGTCGGACCCAAAACAACCAAGCGACCGGATTCAATTAAGCCGGTTCTGTGTCTTTTCATTAACGAGAGAAAGACATGTGACAGCGTGTTGAATTTACAGCGGATGGTGTTGATGGAGGGCTTAAGTTACACTTTGAACCGGAGAGCTGCATCAGATTTATAGGGCCGTGGTGACAGCTGCCTGCTCCACCAGGATTATGGGGGATATGATGTCTATATATCAAAGTTTAAAGAGTGCAATTTTGGCTAATGTGTCGGACTAGATTGTCCCTTCCAAGCAATCTGTAACTTTGTTATGAATTTCATCTGTGATAAAGATAATATTTTTCTTTTGCAGCATTGTCTGAGTCCTTGCTATTTAGGTTAGCAACGTTTGCTTTTTTTCTTTAGAATGTTTTATTAAAGCACAGACCGAGTGAGACAATATAAAAATAGAGACCGGCATGCCTGTGGAGACTTGTGTAAACTGCAACGCACAAAATCACAATGCTCACAATCAGTGCCAGATGTGCTAAAAAATGAATTTATTGAGAAGGGGATTGTGATATTCTAAAGAGGAATAAACTATTGTTTGAGGGAGGGAAGAGAGGGGGGAATCTGCAGAACCAGAGCCAGAGAGACAGAATAGCGAGCGGTTGGATCGTTTCTCTTGAGTTTTGGCCTCATTTCCAGGCAGAGAAAGTGGATATTTTCAGATCTGTTGTGCTTGGAGACCAACTTTTGTTTTGACAACCAGACAGAGTGGTATTCATGAGATTCGTCTAAGCTTTCACCTGAAGTGTGTTTTCTTTCTCTTCCTAAATTAGACCTATGTACATGTCGGTGCACGTGAAAGTCAGCCTTTACAGCGTGTGTGTGTGTGTGTGTGTGTGTGTCTCTGTGTCTCTGCTCAGAAAGCTGACATCAGAGAGGCTGAAAATGATGATGATGAACGTTGGCGATGACATCACAGCAAATGATTGTCTCCACCTGTTGTCTGGGCTACTGTTTACTGTCTGCTTCAGCTTTGTGAAAGTACGTCTTGTCGTTCTGTGACTACCTAGCGCTGAAATCTGAAGTGGATGATTATTACATCAACGGAGCGTGGACCATCGACTGGCCCAGGAAGTTTGACATCGCAGGGACGGCTTTCCACTACAAGAGACCCTCCGATGAGCCGGAGTCTTTAGAGGCGCTGGGAGCTACCACTGAAACCCTGATTGTCATGGTAATGAATCATATGTTATTGCACATCATGCACAAACATTGCATGTGTCAAAGGTTGCACACCGTGGGAGCAGCAGCTGGTCCTGCAACTTAGAAACACTGGAGTCTCCTGGACAATTTAAATCTGCAATACCTCATATTTTTTGGCCCCAGCAATGGTGACATATCATCACATTTTAGGTTAATATAACAAACTTGTTCGTAAACAGTCGCTTGTTTACACATCTAGCAGTCACAGCATTGAATGTAAGTCCTGTATTCGCTCTCTCTTAGCTCTGTTTTTGGTCTCCACCAACTCCTGAGGGAAACATCTGTCTCATCACTACGAGACTCTTCAACATAGGTTGAATTATTGAAACTTTGGTCAGTTTGTCGTGGCATACAGAACATAAGTGGGACTTTAATTTCCGGGAACTTGGACACTCAAAATAACTCCTCAATTTCCAACTCTGTAGGTCGTCCTGAACATTTTAGGGCGCAGTTGGTCTGAGTCCACTTAAACATCTGGCTGTTAACCTTAGGTGACTGTCTGCTAGCGGTTTGGGGTTAAAAGTTATTTATATGTGGACATTAAAAAAAAAACAATGTTTCCCTTGATCTGGAGAGCATCTGTGTTTCAGAGTTTGTTCGTGCATATTAAACACATCTTTAAATAGGTTCCAGGACAAGTTTCTCTGCATGTTCGTGTGTTAATGTGAGCCAACTGATGTTCTGTCGTAATACTCGGCGGTTTCTGCCTCGACATGAATGCTGAAAATACCAGACCACACAGCACCACTGGAATAGACAAGCAACTGGCCACTCGACCACCAGCCATTTCTTTGCGGCTTGCAAAGCGCGACTCCCTCAGTCTCCATCTGCATCCAGCAGACTAATATAAATCCACTAGAGCCTCACTGATGCACACAAAACAACTGCACTTAAAGCTGCTATAGTCAATATTTTTTACTGTGTGTAATGTGAAAGGGGTGGCTTGTCGATAACAAACCCTCACATAATGATCACCTGATTGTTTTCACTTTGTTTCATACGTAAATACATAAATTGATGTGAATGTACCTTCTTATTCCTACTACATCTCTTTGCTGCTCCCTCTGCAGGTCCTCCTTCAGGAGCAGAACCTGGGAATACGCTACAAGTTCAACGTGCCCATCCAGCGCACGGGGAGCGGTGACAACGAGGTGGGCTTCTCCTGGCACCACCTGCCCTGGTCTGAATGCTCAGCTACATGCGCTGGAGGTACGTCTGCACTGGAAGCGAGTAACTCTCCTCTTCTCTCTTCTCTCTGGACTGTTAATGGTCACGGAAACATAGCGGGAGCTAATGTTTCCAATGTGAAACCTGTAGCGAAGAACCTCAGGGTGTCCAGCTGAACTGTTCACATAAAGGTTCAACGTTTTCATCCAAATTTAGCCTAAAACTGTAAGATACTTTCCAGAAAATCAACAACAGAAAATGCAAATCAATGTGTGTTTCTATCCATTACTGTAATGCAAATAGCAGGAGTAGTTGTATTGATGCATAAACTCTTCTATCTCAGCCAAGACGAAAATAAGAGACTATAAAGTCATATGTAATTATTATTATTTTTATTTCTTGTATTTCCATGCAGTGTTTTTATGCGCAAATTGAAAATGTGCTTAAAAACAGGTGAAGGGAAAGACTCCTCTACAATCGTGAGCTCACTTTACAACAGATCTTAAATGCAGTCACTTACTTTTATTTATTTAAATTCACTTCCACGCACAAACACTCACATTTCTGTATTTCTTCTTGTGTTTCATGGTTTGCAATTCATTTTTTAATCCATTCTAACATTTGATCGTTTAGCCGTATCACATACAGTGCAGAGTGTCTTTTATTGTGCGTAAACTAAACTGCTGTGCACGTTTTTTACTATTAAAGTTTATTTTCCTGAGAGAGAAGAATACCGCGTCGACCTTCTGCTGAGCTCCAGTGGCCAGTTGTCTTCTGCAGAAAGAGCACTCCAAGCATTTTGGTGTTATACATAACACGCTGTGGGTGTTTAAATTCTTCTTGCATATTTCTAACCTTCTCAAATACTTAATACTTCATATCTTGTGTGTGTGTGTGTGTGTGTGTGTGTGTGTCCCATTCTGTAAATCTTCCCCAACCAGTAATTACACAAATGCCGAGGAGCAGTGTGTGGAAACCCAGTATCATAATTTGCGATTGCTTTCCAAAATCATTACTTTACAGCAGGAGATTCAGCCCTCTAATAAATTCAATCTGTATATTTTCCATATTTTGGCCAGAGTAATGAATATGCTGTAATTTCTGTGAATGGGCTGCGCTGCATAGCTTCTGGTTCACCAGCGCTGCACACAGATACGGCCGCTCTTCCACGGCGCTTGTCCTACAAAGTCAAACATTCAGAGTCTGAAACCGCAGTGAAATGTTGACCGTGGCCTCAAGAATGACTAAACCAAACCTTTTAGCCCAAAAGCAATGGGTTTCATGTAACAATAAATAGTGTTCCTTCCCAGTCGTCAAGTGTGGCCTGGACGGGTTTGTAATATTTAGTAAAAGCATGACTGAATAAGCATGTGGGTTTTTCTGAGGAAGGATCTCCAAGTCCGCAGCAGAGGTTTGAAGCTGTTCCTCAGAAAGGGGGACGCACACACACGTTCCTCCCAGTGTTGTAAACATGCCTTTGTATTGTTGATCTCATTTTTGTCTGTGACGGCGCTGAGCTTTAAACCAGCAAAAGGTTATTAAATCACACACACCCATTCGATACAGCCCGCTCAGCTAATCGTGCTGCGTTTGCTTAATATATCACTACCGTAATAAAACCTATGAAAAACATCTTTTGACAGCCTTACAACCAAAACTCTCTCCTACCCCATGCTTCACACTGTTCCTCCAAACTGTATTTCACTTCACGCACAGATGGGTAGATTTTCTATACTCTACACACACACACACACACACACACACACTCACACACACATCCATATCTCATTACATCTGCCAGACAAGTCTGCTGTGGGTTACGTCCCATGAGGGCCCAAACAGACCATTTCTGAGTTGGTATGGCATACACACATGCACACACACACACACACACACACACAGAAAACACATGCACGCTCACAGACACACACACACACAGTGGGAGGTGTGACACCGATACGGTAGCCCTCACTCTCTCCATCAGAAGCCAAAGTAAAGAGCTCTCTGCTCTGTAAAAGTGATTTGCCAAGATATCCTGCAAAGAATCAGGAATTTACATGTCTGGATTTACTACAGACTGAAAGCGATACCATCTCCGCTCGACACGACGGCCGGCCGGCTTCCATGTTTCTGGAGGGGGGGGGGTGTTTAGATCAGCTGATCTCAGTGCTGCCTTATTGATCCGTCCTTTTCCCCCCCACTGTTAGGCTCCCAGAAGCAGGAGGTGGTGTGTAGGAGGCTGGATGACAACTCGGTGGTCCAGAACAACTACTGTGACCCAGACAGCAAACCTCCAGAGAACCCGAGAGACTGCAACACAGAGCCGTGTCCTCCAGAGTACGTACCGCTGAGTCGTGGTTGTTTCCATTATCAACTGATTAATTGATCAGTCTGTAAAATGTGACACAAATACCTGAATATATTCACTTGACAACAATGTGAAATACACGGATATTTGAGTCTTTTCACTTGATAAATGACTTAAATGATTTAATTGATTTTAACAATTACCATCAGTTATATTTATTTTGATTAATTAGTCACGTTTTTTTCTGCTCTGCAGCTAACTTTTACCTTCGTTCAGTACTGTTGTATTAGAGGAAATGTTTTTTAAGCTTTCTTTGAGATGGAAAGTATCAACAATGTTTTCATAGAATATTTACTGTCATCTAAAACCTGCATTAACGGATTTATGTGGCTGCTTGGGGGCAGCTGGAACAGGCTGTTAACACAACACTGACATATTATCAACTTTTGACGTAAGCGTGTTAGCAATCAGTTGCCTATTTACACATTGCCACTGAGTTGCACAATGGGAGGAGCAGCTGGTCTTGGAGTTATTTTTCCTCATTGATATATCATCATAAACAGATTCAGAGAAACGACATCATTCAGTCGTGTTCGTCTCCACCTGATGGCTGTAAGTCCAATGTTCTCTCTCTTTTAGCTCCGTGTTTGGTCTCCACCACCTCCGGAGGGAAACATTTCTCTCTTTTCGCTGCTAAATGCTCCGCTATGTTCACCAGCTGGTCTCTGAGGTCATCACCTGTTTGGTGTCTTTTTCTTTTGTCTTTGCCGCATTTGGAAACAACGCTGATGAACAACAGTGAGACTGAACCAAAAATAAACCAAAATAATTAGCTTAAAGATGCTAAAATGCTGCGTAAGGCTGAGGAGAACTGTGTCGGGTGATAATTCCCCGTAGGTTTGCTAAACCTTGTGCATTACACATAGACATTCGATCCACTATTAATATAAAAATATTGCTTTAAGTTACTGCATTCAAAGATAAAAACCCTCCATAAAAATGAGACTGACTCGGGATATTAGTTCGCCTTCAATGAGCCCCACTTTGTAAAAATGTGTTTGGAACATGATAATAAAAATGAAATGGCCGTGATTTATAACTTCATATGTTAACTATTTTCAGTGTTTGCCTCGCGCCAACAATTGGAGCCCTAAAAAGTGACCACCTGTGTTTGATTGTTTTGGCCTCGTTGCCGGTCCTCGAGGGGCAACGTGCACGTATACAGGTGGAATATGAACTCGTGTTTGGTGGCCAAATGTCTGCAAACCCCCAAAACTGTAGCTGGAAGCATGAAGCCAGACTCTGGAAAAAGAGGGATTAAATGCATCGGGTTGATTAGTTTCAGACTGTATAAGTGGTCATATGCATCCATACATTTAGACTACACTTTACTTATATTCACATATGTATTCGGTGGACGCAAACATGTGCTATCTCATTTATTTTCATAGTACTTGAAGGCTGTTGCAGTGCATGTGTGTGTGTGTGTGTGTGTGTGTGTGTGTGTGTGTGTGTTTGTGTGTGTGTGTGTGTGTGTGTGTGTGTGTATTGAGTTACAGTGCAGCCTCAGGAAAGGCCGACTGCAGGAGACGGCGTAAACACCATTGTTTTAGAATAGCCACGGTTTTATGGGCTCCAGTAATGAAAGCTAGCACAGATGTTTGAACACGTCGTTAATTCTGTATACATTCCTTCAGATGATGTAATATCTCAGCGGCGGGATGTGTTTGGAGGGCTGTTGTCTGGGCAGTTTTATGATTTTGGTTCTGAAGTCTGTTGACAGGTTTGAATAAGACTTTCTCGGAGGCCAAAAGCTCAGCGGAATTGCGTGGCAAACATGTCGGTTACCTTTCAGTTTATCGGCCTCATCTCCATCATCAGGTTTTAATGGATGTTATGGTTGTTTGTGTACAGATTGAACTAATGAGGAACAATGTGTTTGTGAGCTTCAGAGGGGCTGCTAGGTGGGTCCTTGTTTCAACTTTGGAGGGATCAAGGCTAGCTATTTCCCCCTGCTTCCAGTCTTTATGCTAAGCTAAGCTAACTGTATCCCGGCTCCTGCTCTATACTGAAAGCACAGACATGAGAGTGGTATCGATCTTCTCATCTAACTCTCAGCAAGAAAGTGGGAAGGGGAGTCAAATCTGATTGAAACACATGTTTTCTGACCAGGATGTCTTATGTCACTGTTAGTTGGTGGGATCTCCAGATACATAGATGTATGAGCACAAGCACTTTTTCATGATGTGTCCCCTTTAAATCAGGAACTGTCTGCTCAAAGAAGTAAACATCATTATTCATTTGACACGTTTTGGTTCTGGACGTGTTTGGTCCGAGGAGTTTCGACTCTGCTGTTTTGGTAATCCCACTTTAATGAAGTCAGCCAGTCCACAACCGTAATGTGATTTTACACTCTGACATTATCAAAGGCTGCTGGTAATGAAGTAACCACAGGGAGTGCAACACACGCTGGTAGTTTTGGTTCTTTTGTTTAGTTTGAGCAGATTCTCCGAATGGTTTTCACTACACATTAAATATAAAAAAAGCAAAAACAGTAAATAGGATAAAATGAATTAATTCAATTCACAGTAAAAAATAAATAAATAAAAGACAATAATAACCAAGGAATGATAAGAAGTCACATTCTGACAGATAAATAAAAGATAAATACGTTCACAACTGGTTGACCAAGCATGTGTTAAAAGGCTGTCACCCATTAAAACGTGTCATTAGATTCATGGATAGTAAACCTCATCTTCTCTGAGTTCAGGGTTAGTTTCTTCTGCTCCAACTCTTCCGTCTGTCTCCTCCAGATGGTTCATTGGCGACTGGTCAGAGTGTGGGAAGACGTGTGACGGCGGGATGAGGACCAGGACCGTCCTGTGCATCAGGAAGATCGGCCCCGCTGAGGAGGAGACGCTGGAGGACACCCACTGTCTGACCCACCGACCCATCGAACGGGAGTCCTGCAACAACCAGTCCTGCCCGCCAAAGTGGGTCACTCTGGATTGGTCGGAGGTATGATATTATTCTCAAACTATCTTTTGGCTCATCGGGGCCTGTCGAGGTGAGTTCCGTCTGACGACCTTCTCCTCCTCCGTCTGTAGTGCACACCTAAATGTGGGCCCGGCTTCAAGCACCGCATCGCCTTGTGCAAGAGCAGCGACCTCGCCAAGACCTTCCCGCCCGCCCACTGCCCGAGCCACAACAAGCCTCCGGTCCGAATCCGCTGCAGCTTAGGACGCTGTCCACCTCCTCGCTGGATCCCTGGTGAATGGGGACAGGTAGGACGAGGCTCCTTCACATCGCTTTGTTTCACTTAAAGGGACAGTTCACCCCAAAATCTGTAATATCTGTCCTCTTACCTGTGTGCTGTTTATCAATCTAGATTGTTTTGGTGTGAGTTACCTCGTGATCTCTGCCTTCCCCTCCAATATATTGTCACTAGTTGACACTCAGCTTGTGATGATCAAAGCGCCAAAAAAATCCCACCTGAAGAACTCAACAGCAACGTCTCTTTCTAGAAACCGTAACCGGGTTTTTCAAGATCTCGAGTAACCGGGTCAGGATTTCTGGAAAGAGAAATGTACTTTTTTACAAGCCGAATGCCGTCCAGTTCCATTATATTGGAGAGAAGGCAGACAGATAAACAGCACTACAGGTAAGAAGAAGAATGTCTTTTTTGATTTTGGGTGGAACTGTTCCTTTAAGCATGATTTTAGAGAGCTTCCCAAACTGCAGTACGCTGGTTAATCCTTTAAAAGGATAGCCTGGATGTTTAAAAGACAAAAGATACTCAGACAGATTCCATGTGTTGGTGAATGGTTGATATAATTTACACCTGGATGACACACTAAGCAGGCCTGTGACGTGTGTGTGTGTGTGTGTGTGTGTGTGTGTGTGTGTAGAGGTTGTCTGTGTGTGCGAGTCCGAGTGCTCCAGCAGGCCTGGAGTTGGTGATCAGCGTCAGGAATATCCTCCTGGCTGTTTGAAGTTTATCTCTGCCTCGGACCAGGCCCCTCTATCTCTTCCAGGAACACGATTTAGAGGGAAGGCCAAGGAGTAGCATTCTTGGGCTCACCCTGACACGACTTAGTGCGCTCAGCGAAGCTGTAGAACACTTTAAAACACTCAGCTGACTCATGCCGATGAGGGGACGCCAAAAAGAAACGTGCGTCACAGAAAGCAGCGCGCGTTGTTCTGCAGGATTTGTCGGCAATTTGGTAAAAGCAAAAGCGGGATTTTAAACAGCCTGCTCGGATGTTTAGGAGACGGTCACTCTCTGGAGGCGGAGGTGATGTCACGGTTTGAGCACTGTGCCGTTCAGGTCGGAGGTCAAAGGTTAAGAGTCAGGCAGTCCAGGTCACGGCTCTCCCTTGGCTTCTCCTCGTAACGGCCACATGTGCGCCGGCAGACGTCAATAACACACTTTTACAATTTGATCAGAGCCAATGAGAGTGGAACACAAAGCAGAGCTCACTGATAACCTCAGAGCGCTCCATCAAAGAGCCGAGCCGAGGTTAATACCTCGTAGAGCAACAGCTGGAGTCTGCTCTTACACAGCACTTTCACATTCATTGCAGTTGTGTGTGTGTGTGTGTGTGTGTGTGTGTGTGTGTGTGTGTGTGTGTGTGTGTGCGCGCGCGCGCGCGCGCGCGCAACCCTCTCCCCTTTTTTTGGGCTGTAATTACAAGCTTCACCCTCGCTGCTCCGGTCCCTTTAAAGCGTCAGAAAGGGGAGATTGTTGGCAGCTACCGAGCTCCTGGTCTCCCATGGCCAAAAGGTCACCGGTTCAAATCCCACTTAAGTCGCACCATTGACGTACGGCATCTGTCATGGCCGGCAGCGAGTCCTAATAAAGACTCTCTAATTGTGAAGGGATGACATGAGGGCTCACTGATCTGAGGCAGCCAGAGAGGATCATTGAAGGTGACAGAAAGCCGCTCGTACACACACACACACACACACACACACACACACACACAGTGATGGCTGACAGGTGTGTTGTTTCTCCCAAAGAGTAATCATGACGATGCATTTGAGGCCAAAGGTGTGTTGGCATCTGCTGCATTTGTTTTTGTAGTTTTACTGCCAAAGGAGTTTAACTGCCACCCATAGAACCATTCTCAGTTTTTTATTAAAAATAACACGTTTATAGAAGTCAGGTGCACAAGTTGGGTTCAGTACGAGAACCTTTTTCTCCCTCCGTTCTGTTCCAGGCGAGTCCATCAAACAGTCATTTTTTATTAACGCAAAAGGAGGCATCTCTTAGGTTCAACATTAAATACTCCATTGTCCCATGAATTCTAAATATGACGGCAGTACTGAGGAATCCCAGAAGATTGTAGACATTCATACTTCTGTGAGGATGCACTTTTATTATTTAAAGTAGACGTAAAAATTTGAAAAAAATGTCCCCCACTCATTGGAAATACTGTCCCATGAAACAAACTAAATGGGTTTAATGTTAATGTTATTATTAATCCATCTACTCTTACTATCTAATCACCTTTTATTTGTTTTTTTTAATGGATTAGGTCGTTTCTTTTGCTTCTCTACTTTTTTGTTTTTCTCTAGTTTTTGTCTCATTTTTACAAACTGCTATGAGCATTGAAAACCAAAAAATATGAAGTGGTGAAAGGTTCAGGTGCATGCTGGTGTTCTGAAAACGACAAATACGTAGTTATTGAAGTGTGGCCGCTGATTTGGCCCACCTATCAACTCAGAAGTTGTGGTTATCGTGACAAACAACAAATAAGAAAACAAACTTTAAAACATACTTCTGTTTTTGCATAAATAAATCATGCTCGTCCTCGTCTCCTGCTCTGTTTGCATCTCAGTCCCCTGACGCACACAAACATGAGACAAACATCGCGAGCAACAGTTGAACTCGGTTACTCCGGGTTCACAAACTCAGTCACCGACTGCAGTCAGCTGAATGAGACCAAAGGGAAGGTGACTCCGTCTGCTCGCTGCCTGCGTGCCCTGATGATTGGTTGATTGGATCAAGTCATGCAGAGAGAGAGTGTGTGTGTGTGTGTGTGTGTGTGTGTGTGTGTGTGTGTGTGTGTGTTTGTGTGCAGGGATTACTGAGCATCTGCGTGCATGAGGGAGTGAAATCTTGGAGCACTCAGGGTCACGGAGGGAAAGACGGTCCTAATTTACCTCGTTGCATTTCAGCCTCCGCCGGCTAATACCGTCCCGCGCAGAGCCGATAAGTGTGTTGTGTTCTCTGTTGCAGTGTTCGGCCCAGTGCGGCCTCGGCCAGCAGATGAGGACGGTGCAGTGTCTGTCGTACACTGGGCAGCCGTCTAACGACTGCGCCGAGTCCCTCCGACCCACCACCATGCAGCAGTGTGAGAGCAAGTGCGACGCCACCCCCATCGCAAATGGCGACGGTAAGACGAGGATAGCGCTGGAAAATGTGAAAGAAAAGAAATTCCCTTCATGAGTTCCTTCTTGTGGTCGCCAGACGCACGCAGGTTTCTATTTAAACCTGCAGCTCCTCTAAGGCAGATGTGAATACCTACTGTGCTGCGCTGTGCACTGCTTTCACACAGAGCCCCTCTTGAGAAGGTTATAAACTGTCTCTATCTTCATCCTCACTGTTCTGCTATGACCTAAACACGCTTGGATGACACACTCCTCTACACTTTGCCAGCCACATTAATCTTTCCAGTGAGGTTGGCCGCTGGTCAAAGCGAAACAGCTCAACCCTCCATATACACTTACACATGATGGATGGCCATTCGGATGCATAGAGAAGGGCCTTTCGATTAGCCTGAATGGAAAACGTGAGCAGCGTTTACAGGCTGGCTAATGGGATTAGCTGTAGGCTAATTGTTCCTTTACGGACAGCAGTGAGGCAATGTCTCGTTTCATTTGGCTCTGCGGAGGCAGGGGCCAAAGCCTAATAAGGGAAGACACTCTGATCGTGATAAGGCATTTAGAGCACTGCCTGTCCACCATCCAGCAAGCAGTTTGTGTGTGTGTGTGTGTGTGTGTGTGCATGGTAGGGATGGCAGGAAGCCCAGTTAGCGAACAGGGCCAGAATCTGTCTCAGCTTCAGCCTCTGCGTCCAAGTATAGTTGCAGAGTTTGAGTGTGTTGAGGCCTCGCGGAGCAGGTTGGCCCCGTCTGTTCCTCTCATGTCTTCTGGGAGTCACAGCGATCAGCTTCCCATTTTCAAAATAACTCAGAAACTCATTTAAAAGCACCGTTCTGAAGGTATTTCCAGAATCCTTAAAGACTAATTATAAGGTTTCAAGGATAATTTATCGTCATTATGCAACTCAAGGTCGCACAACGAAATGCAGTTGTTGCTCTTCTTGCTGAACAACGAAAACATGACGAACAACAAATCAGTAGTGCAAAAAAACAACATTCTCTGAGCAATACGGCCGACATCTTAACATAAAAAATGTCATCCTTTCAAGAAAACTCAGAAAGCTAATCTGATAATTCTTCACTCTTTTCCCAAAACTATCTGTTTTCTGTGTCCAGAGTGCAAAGATGTCAACAAAGTGGCCTACTGCCCGCTGGTGCTGAAGTTCAAGTTCTGCAGCCGTGCTTACTTCAGGCAGATGTGCTGCAAGACCTGCCAGGGACACTGACACCTCTGAGAGTGAAGCAGAGACAACGGCTAGAAAGAAGATGGAGGGAGGCTGATGTAGCGCTGCAAAGGGAGAGAGGAAGAGAAACAGGGCAGACTGAGAAAGAAAACCCCGAAACCTCCGGACACGTGGAAGGCAGAGTAAGGGTTCCCCTGTTTATCACACCTGGTCCTCCGGCCCTCCGTCGTGGTGGAGTCTCAAACCACTGCTCAGCCCCCGACGCTGACACAAACTGATTTTGTCACTTCTGTGAAGTGGAACTTTGGAAGATTATTCGTTGGTGTTATTTTTATTATAATAATAATTATCGATATCATTGTTAGTCTTCCTTCGTGTTTGTTGTTTTTAATTAATCCAAAGTGCTGGACACGTCGCTCGCAGAGGATGCTACCCCCAGAGACGGATGGAGGGGAGGACTCCTCGCTAGAAGATGGAGGGGGGGTGGTGGGAGTCGGAAGTGTCGGGCTCCCGTCTCTGGGACGACTGTGATGGTGCTATCGGCAGGCAGACCTTTGGCTTCGGTGCACTTTTTCCGTGTCAATACTTTTTGCCAATTTTACCGCTCAGATCCGGTGTACTGTATATTTATTGTACAATTCCAAACAGAGCCGAGATATCGTCAGATAGTAGCCGACTGTCACGGAAGGGAATGTAACGTGATGGAATTCATATTCAACGTCTCTGTGCTGGAATGAAAGTATTACACACCGTAACATACGTTAAACCCTTATATACTGTAAGGATCTGTATATTATATATGATGTTAATCCAGGACCAGAAACTACGGCGAGGTTATAGGAGGATGTTTGAATCACCTTTTCTTTCCCCAGACGGGTGCCTTAGTTCCTAACACTTGCATAAAGTTCACCCCAGTGTCAGTGATCATGAAGACGTTGTCAGACGGTGCCACATGAAACACTATCACCCAACTGGCCTTTACCAAACATCCCACTGAGGAGCTCTCAGTTCACTTTTGAAGGATTCATCTTGAAGGAGCATATTCTACGAAGCGGTTTGTTCAGTGGAGTCACTATTTCTTTATCTTTCAGGCTGGATGATTATTTAAACAGAAGTTGTCATATTTTTGTATTTAAGAAGCAAGCAGAGACCCTCATTGTTTCAGCGCTGATGAGGAATAGTTTACATTCGAGAGTTTGACGAGAAGACCCCTCTCACGTCTGTACTGTCAATATGAAGCTTTAGCCAGCGGGCTTAGCTTAGCATAAAGACTGGAAACAGGTGGAAACAGCTAGCGTTGCTTTGTCCAAGCGTAAAAAACATCAACCTACCAGCACCTCTAAAACTCTCAGCTTCTTTCTAATGTCTTTTAATACGTCCAAAAGCATGAGAAGTTGAAGACGAAATCACAAATTGTGGCATTCGCTGCTGATTCTGACTGTCTTCAGTTCAGCAGGAGGTTTTACGCTTTTGTTTTTTTTGGTCAGGATTGAAAAACCAACATATGGATTTTAAAGTGGCTAGGTGTTCCCCCTTGTTTCCAGTGTTTATGCTAAGCTAAGCTAACTGTCTCCTGAGTGTGGTTTTATTTTTGGTCAACAAACATGAGAGTTATGTCAAACTTATCGTCTAAATCTCAGCAAGAACATTAATATGCATGTTTCCCAAAATGTCTTAACTATTCCTTTGAGTAAGGGGCCAGTGCTAAATATACACACACATTATGAATATGTTGCCAGACCACGTTTTCAGTTAAAGTTACCCCCTCGTCCTCTCATCATCCTTCAGTAACAAAGACTCAACTCAATGGTGCTTTTCCCCTCTTGTATTTTGCTTTGTTCTTTCCATGGTGTATTGTGTTTACCTCTTCTTTTCCTCCCGCTCGGCTCCGAGGGTTACGGCCTTCCCAGGCTTCTGGTGCTATCAAGTGGGTGCTTCCATTCAACCCTCCAGTGTGCTTAAAAGTGAGGCTGGATCCAAACAATATGAAATAATATCCTTGTCAATATCTGTGTTGGTAAATGCTGGTCATGTTATTGTTTTTGTTTGTATCGGTTTATACCTCACACTGGGAATTTCCATTGTTAACCGTGTTTTGTGTGGACACTCGCCCGGTTGTAGCCGACCGACCCAGGTGACAGTTCCTGCTGGTGTCGTGGGGTTGTGAAAGGGAACGTCTCCATCACACACACACTCGTTATGGAGCTACAGAAGGACTCTGAGAAAACCCTGAAAGACAATTAAGGAGTGTGCAAGAATCTCATCGAAGCTGTTAACAACTCATTTCTAATTTTGCTGCTGCTACTTTTTTTTTGTAGCCACCTTCAGTATGACGATGTCGAGCAGATTTTAATCGGTTACCAAACCTCGAGTGAGGCCGGTGGGAAGGGACGGTGGATGCTGAGAAGCGTTTGAAATCAATTCAAACTGCTTGGACTAACTCATCTACTGGCTGCGGGATACGAAGCCTCCAGATATCAAAAAGAGAAGTGAAATCACTCAAACTGGTACTCATTGCTGTGAACTTGGATGTTTGAATGTCACATTGCTTATACCTGTACCTAAAGTGCAAGATAAATGAAAAGCATCATGTGATTAGTTGCGTATATTTTATATTCAGTATTAATGTTGGTACACTGTTACTAATTTTTTTTTTTTTTTCAAATGTAAATTATATGCTAATTTATTGCGTTGTCTCACTTGTACATTTATTTCACTGCATGCAAACTGAACTTTAGCATAGTGAACAAAAAATGCAGTGATGCAGCCCCTTCACCAGCCCCCCCCCCCCCCCTCCTTTTTTTTAAAAAGTAGATACAATAAAAAAAAGAGCAGCTTTTAAAGAGACTCATTGGATTCGTTATTTTCCGCCGTTAGTCAAAACACATCAAAACATGTCTGCGCAACATTTCTAGTGATGTGCACAGTGATGCCTGTGAGAGGGAAGAAAAGCTCCGCGTAACACTGAGGATGAAGTGAGAGGTGTCGGTGCCAGGCTGGATGCTCCGTTCTCACAGGCTTTAGGAGACTCTTGTCCTTTCACTCAACTCTTGGAAAGCACCCACAGCATGAGAACAGCTCATGGCATCACACCAAGGATACCCGGTACCAACCGCTGAAGAAGTCCATTCATTCGCTGCCCGAGTTTAAGGTGGCAGAACCGGAGAAGGAGGGCAACGTTTTGTAAAAGCCATTTATTTTTTTTGTCCTTAATCGACCTAACTCCTGCATCATCATCTGAGATTCAAACAATAAACGTCAGTGTCGACACACCATTCTGAACTGTCCCCGCTCTGTTGCCATGGCTTTGGGTTCGGCTCTCTCCTTCCTCTCATTTCGGGCCTCAAGTGTCTGGATTCACTCTTTGGGGAACTGCCGAGGTTTCCACTCTCCTTGGTAATTAATTCCAAATAAACAGTAAACTAGCCCACTTGGCTGGGAAACGCCAACGTCTCCTTCTAATCCAACAGTGTCCAATTACAGAGGGAGACAGATGGCCTGTTTGGTCTAATGTAACCAGTTTAGAATACCTGTACGTCTGGCCCGGCTTCTGTCTCCGCGCGCTGGCCCGTCTGTGATTACATTAGTGCTAACCTGCAGAGCTGAGGGCGACCAGGAGAGGTGATGGAGTTCATCTGCAGATGACCTGACCGTCCCGAGGTGGCTACCTTCACACGAAACTTTCACACACATATTCGCACATACGCCGACGATAGCTCATTGTAGATGAAACATACAAACAAAAGGTTTTCTTTTGGATACTGTGCGTGTGCACTCAGCCAAGAGGCCTCAAGATGATCGAGTTCGTGACAACACATGATGCCTCGCAGCTGTATTGATTTTGATCAGTGAATGATCCAGACAGTTTGAGTAATGAAAGTAGATTTGTGGTTTCAGCACTGTAACGAAAGTGGTACACTGAAATAAAGCTGCATATGTTTTCCAAAATATGTGGATGTAATCCTGAAAAGATGTACTTGTGTCATTGATTTTACCAACATAACTGAGTGCAAACGTTTCCCCTGTTGTGAAACAGCTTTCACTCTAACACAGGAGGGCTAATTAAAGTGAATGGTGCAACACACGGTGGCTAAGAAGCTACGATAGCGTCACTTCGGTTCTCCATCCGCTCAAAGATCAGCAATGTCAAGACAGGGTTGCTATTGGTCAACGCCTCAAATTCAAAGTTGACCTTAATGTGAAAAAATGTGCACAGATTGCTGGTGTGAGCAGGTCTTTAAACTGTAAACAGTAATGCACAATCAGAATGACCACAGAAACGTACTGTAACCCTCTTATTCCACTGTGTTGGCTTTATTAGTCGAGGTGATAATATTAGTCTCCCTGACACGTCCCATGTGTATTTGACTGAATACGTGACAAGGTGATTTCCCAGTGCACAGAGCTCACAGGCTGCTTATGATAAGAGGTGTAGAGAGGATAGGGAACACATTTCTCCTCTTCTGCAGGATTAAGCACTTCAAATGGAAACTACTGACAGTGAGAGAAGCCATTGCTGTCGCTTATCAGCCATTAAATATTCCCCACAGGCTGCATGACAAAACAAAGGTGTGCAAAATGCGCCGATGATGCGGTACTAAGAATCCAGCAGGACGCACGGGAACTGAAGGAAACCTGCACAAAATTGCTCAAATGTTAAAATCAGCATCTAATGGAACTGCCACGTTTTAAGTTTGAGTCTCTCAGGTGGTAGTCATCGGCTCCCAAAAAGACATGTGCTATTACTCTTGGCCGTGGTCCTGAGGACAACTCATAGCCCTCGACCTAAAGAAAGTGGCTGTTGTATTTCCCTAGCTGGGAGGTGTGAGGATTAGCATAGCGACTAACAACATAGCTCTCTTCAGCGTTTATCATCCTAACCAAAGTCGCTGTGGTACCGCGGTGTCGTCGATGAGAGCTTGAAGCGCTTTTGGACACTTTTGAACACAGTGCAGCAGGACAAACGGCTCCAGATGGTGTGGGTGGAGACAGCATGCATGGACCCGAGGTGGGGTGGGGTGGTGGGGGGGTCCTGACAGGCAGGAATGCTGGCCTGGGGATGGGAAGGTCACGGCTGCAGCACCTGCTATCTACTGGGCTCTGCTTGGGCTCTGTCCCGTTAAGCCCCGCTGCTCTTTCCCACAGCTGAGGCCCAGATTGAACCTTCCGAGGACAATATCAAAGCCCTGAAGGGCACATGGCTGCAGAGGAGAGGGCAGCAGACACCCCGTCACATAAACCGGGAGGATGTGTGGATTTCTCTTTTTTTACCTTCACACCTTCAAAGATGAGAAGAGAAACGCTTCAGCTGTGCAACCGTGGCCTCTTTCAAAGCTGCTTTTCTTCCAGTGTCAAGAGCTGTGCACTTTCCTTATCAGCTGTGAACCAAACGCACAACTGTGCATACGGATGCTATGACCCAAACATTTTTGTGCATTTATAAACAGGACAGTTCCTGAGTGAGCTCTCTTAAGAGCCCAGTCACAACAAGTGACACATTGAAATGCAATTGCTCGATGGTGCAAAATCCCCTTCCATTATAGAAATGCGAAGTTAGAGACGTTGTTTATGTCTCCGGTAGCGGCAGCGACCACTCAATCACCGTGTAGCCCCGCCATAGAGCATCCCCTGCTTTATGGTCTGTTTGACTCTAAATGGACCATAATGTACTAAATGAACATCATGCTGTATTGAAGAAGACTTGAAACTAGAGATTGAGACCATAAACTCATGTTTACAATGTTTACTGAGGTAATAAATCAAGAGAGCAGTAGAGTCATTTTCTCATAGACTTCTATACGACCAGAGGAGTCGCCCCCTGATGGTCATTAGAGAGAATGCAGGGGGTGTGTGTTTTTTTTATCAGCGGGAGCATCTTCTTTTCTACTTGTTCCCAATAAGGAGAGAGCAGCCGCCTATAGAGCACTAATAAACGCTGCATCCACCGGTTTTTTTGTGCTTTTATCGCCTTACACCATGACTCCGACGGATCGTCCTCTTTGCTCTAAGCGGTAACAAGCTCATCCATACAAAGTATGAGGGCAAGCATCTTCCGGTTGGTGCTCACGATGAAACAACTATGTAAAACAAATAGATAGTTGCCCAAATAGATATTAAAAAGCCAAAGAGTGCTGCTAGTCTAGTTTGTGTATGACAAAATAGTGATGGAAGTAGTTGTGTGAAGAAAGGAAAACTAAAGCTTACGTAATAAGCGTACTTTCTCACCTCTGCACACGTAGACAACCGCTGCATGAAACGGGCGTACTTGTCAAAGTACGTGAGGGAGCTTCAAGAATACCGAAGCCTTAAATCTTCAGGTTCTGTATGGGTAGCAGTTCAGCAGGTAGCTGGGTCACCTTTAAAGGATTTGTTCCTATACTGTCCTCTGTCAGCAAGAACGACAGCAGATAAATGGATTAAGTGTATAAAAAATCAATAGCCAATCCCTTTGGCCAATGGAGTAAAGCCATGAGCTTGTGCTTGGTTGTGGATGAGGATGGATTCCACTGTGTGTGTGTGTGTGTGTGTGTGTGCGTGTGAGTGTCACCATTTGGGGAGATGGTGCTCTTGAACGGCACACTCTACGTACAGCATACTTAAGGACCTACTCTCTCTCTGCAGAACATTATGAAATCCATCAAGAATGAATTACGTCGTGATTCAGCCTCTTCTGCTGCTACCGCCCAGAGCTAATAAATGGCAGCAAGCTAATGAGGACAAATGATAATGGGGCCATAGCGGCATTACAGGAAACTACAGGGCTCACGGTTATTACTCTGTTCGGTTACATTGTAATGCTGCGTCTGTCTCTGTTTCATCGCCCACATGTCCTTCACTCTCGACAGGGAGAAGGTGAATCTTTGTATAAACGCATCTAGAGGAGTCACATTGAAGGTTTGACAGCAACCTTGACGGCCCGCCGTAATGTGAAACCCTCTACAAGATCTATTCTTTTCGGAGCTTGTAGCTGTAATTATGTTCCGCGCTAACAATGTGTTTTATGGAGGAATAATTCATCCTATTTTATAGTGTGTGTTGGTTGTCCTTAATGTAATCTCTCTGCACTTTCATTACAATGAAAAAGTGTCCGTAAAGGCAAAATGATCTGCTTGCAAGCAATTTTATTAATTGAGATTCATCAATCAATCAATTGCACGCCAAAGACAACAAAGTCCTATTTCAAGTGTAGGTCAATTGATGGAGTTGTCCTTGTCTTTAGGATATTAAAATAGCAAGACAACAGAGAAGTGACACAACTCTGCTTTAAGGTCACGTTGAAACAAAAAGCTGACTCTATATCGTGTCTCTGAGAATTCATCGTAACTCTCTTTATACTCTGCTGTTATTTTTATGTCTAAATACGAGATGCACAAGAAAGGCAATGACATTGTTCATAACATACTATATATACAGTATGTATACTATATACATATACTTTTACTAAACAAATAAAAGGTTAAACAAATAAATATATTTATAAATATAATCAAAGCAAATTAAACATTAGATATTAAAGCCACTACGAGGAATTTTGTGTTGATTCTGTCGGTCCCTGTGGACTAAAGTGGTAGTGTTTTTGAGCACCAGTCTCTTTAGAAAACCTCTCATGTTACTGCAGCAGGGTCTGACAGTCTGCCCCTCTCAGTCCTGGTTCTGGTTCTCCCGTGCCTCCCTTCCCTCCAGCGGGTCCAGCAATACGTCTTGGGTCTCCAGCAGCATGGTGTCGGTGTTGGCTCCCAGAGAGGAGAAGCTCTGATCCTGGAGGAGGAGGAGGA